TGTGACCATTAAAGTTTTGATCTTTATGTCTATGCACACATGTCCATCAGTGGCTGTACACATATGTCCATCAGTGGGTGTACACATATCTCGATCAGTGGCTGTACACATATGTCCATCAGTGGCTGTATACATATGACCATCAGTGGCTGTACACATATGTCCATCAGTGGCTGTACACATATGTCCATCAGTGGCTGTACACATATACTCATGAGTGGCTATGCACATATGTCCATCAGTGGCTTTACACATATGTCCATCAGTGGCTGTACACTTATGTCAATCAGTGCCTGTACACATATGTCCATCAGTGGCTGTACACATATGTCCATCAGGGGCTGTACACATATGTCCATCAGTGTCTGTACACATATACTCATGAATGGCTATGCACGTATGTCCATAAGTGTCTGTACACATATACTCATGAGTGGCTATGCACATATTTCCATCAGTGGCTGTATACTTATACACATGAGTGACTGTACACATATGTCCATCAGTGGCTGTACACATATACTCATGAGTGGCTATGCACATATTTCCATCAGTGGCTGTATACTGATACATATGATTGACTGTACACATATGCCCATCAGTGATTAAATATTAGTGCCTATTTATTATTAGAAATTTATTATTTTGTTTCCTTGAAAGCCAATTATGTAAATATTTCAATGGCTACATAGCGGGAGTATTGGGGGAAAAAGAACTTTAATATCCGGACAAATATCATGAAATGATTTGTTTGTGTAGATGTCAGTAAAAACCTATTTGTTGGTCATCCAACGAAATTGTCCAGTTCACAATGAGTACGGATCATCAAGTCTTTCCATTACGCTTTTTTTTTGGTATTCATGCTTTTGTTCACGCATAATAAATAAATAAATTATCGCTTTTTGTTCATGTTGTCATGGAAACATCAGAATACTGGGGTCAATAAACTTTATCTCAAGAGTATTGATATCAATAAACTTTATCTTGGGTTGAAACATCAGAAGCGCATTTGTCACTAAGCAAAATTTGTGGTGCAGCTCATGTGTAGTACAAAAATTGATATGAAACTAGTCATTCAGCCTCATACTGAAGTCATGCATTTTTTGTGGGGCAGAGCTATTGCTCTTTTATAGCCTCGGCAAGCATATGTGCTGCATCTCAAGCACTTCACAGGTGTGCCGCATCTCAAGCACTTCACATATGTGCCGCATCTGGTGGTCATCGACGTAGATCAGGCTTTAGGTGTGGATATCACGGGTGTTCCCAGCCTATATTGTCAGTCTCTTGCTGAAATTGTACATTAGGAAATGCTCTTCTTGCACTTACCCAAATCATCCCATCTCACTCCAAGCCCAATATCGTTCCACGAAGAGGCACTTTGGAGACCTCTCTTTGCGAGGACAGCGCCCGCCAGCACCCACGTGATCGGGTACCGATGGATGCCCCCCCCCCCGCCCAAGGACTTGCGGTTGGCGGGGGACAATGCTCTCTGAACGTCAGCAATCAACTTTCCCAGGAGGTCGGGATGGTATATTTAAGTCCTAAAATCTTCCCCTCTCCATTCCGGGGAAGTGTCGGACACAGGGATCCTTACAGTGGTTTTTTACCACATGACTAATTCGCAAAGCAGCAGGGACGAAACGGTTGCCTAGGAACAACTTCCTCGCGTGCTGATTCTTGACATGAGTCACTTGGTCGACTGCAGCTTTGAATATCCTTGCCAGAAACCATCATGACCAATGTCCACCAGGAGTACAACGAGATTCTTTCATTAGTTTGTCACTTACGTTGTTTCCTGTTTCCCTAACTTTATGGCCCACCCCAAACTTTATGGCCCACCCCAAACTTTATGGCCCACCCCAAACTTTATGGCCCACCCCACACTTTATGGCCCACCCCAAACTTTATGGCCCACCCCAAACTTTATGGCCCACCCCAAACTTTATGGCCCACCCCAAACTTTATGGCCCACCCCAAACTTTATGGCCCACCCCAAACTTTATGGCCCACCCCAAACTTTATGGCCCACCCCAAACTTTATGGCCCACCCCAAACTTTATGGCCCACCCCAAACTTTATGGCCCACCCCAAACTTTATGGCCCACCCCAAACTTTATGGCCCACCCCAAACTTTATGGCCCACCCCAAACTTTATGGCCCACCCCAAACTTTATGGCCCACCCCAAACTTTATGGCCCACCCCAAACTTTATGGCCCACCCCAAACTTTATGGCCCACCCCAAACTTTATGGCCCACCCCAAACTTTATGGCCCACCCCAAACCTTATGGCCCACCCCAAACTTTATGGCCCACCCCAAACTTTATGGCCCACCCCAAACTTTATGGCCCACCCCAAACTTTATGGCCCACCCCAAACTTTATGGCCCCACCCCAAACTGTACTTTAGAAATCCGTGACCCAATTAATCGCACGACCGGTTACCATTTCAGGGAGCCACACATTTCAGGGAGCCACACATTTCAGGGAGCCACACATTACAGGGAGCCACACATTTCAGGGAGCCACACATTTCAGGGAGCCACACATTTCAGGGAGCCACACATTTCAGGGAGCCACACATTTCAGGGAGCCACATTTTGCAGACTGTGAAATTGACGTCATTAGTGGTGTTTAGGACTACAGCAACGTCAGTCATTGAACCTGTGACCACACCATGGCAACACGTCGTTAGATTTAGGACTACAGCAACGTCAGTCATTGAACCTGTTACCACAACCTGGCAACACGTCATTAGATTTAGGACTACAGCAACGTCAGTCATTGAACCTGTGACCACAACCTGGCAACACGTCATTAGATTTAGGACTACAGCAACGTCAGTCATTGAACCTGTGACCACAACCTGGCAACACGTCATTAGATTTACGACTACAGCAACGCCAATCATTGAACCAGTCACCACAATCAGGCAACATGTCGCTAAGAGTCTCATAATTTTTAACAACTGAGTGACTAAGATAGGAATTTTTAACATGGTAACAGAAATAATATGTAGATTTTATTTAGGAACTTAATATAAGACAAAATAATATGTAGATTATTAGAGGAACTTAATAGAAGAGTAATAATGTGTAGACCATGGAGGAACTTAATATAAGAGAAATAATATGTAGACCATAGGGAAACTTAATATAAGAGAAATAATATGTAGTCTTTATCATAAATAGTTTAATACAATGTAAATCTCTCAAAGCGATGTAACAATGAAATCCACACATTGAATAATCGCTATCAACTAAGCTGTTTCTTCACAGCTGAGTTGTTCTGACACGGCTGAGTTGTTCAGACACGAAACAATAACCATTGTAAGTTTGCGTGGATGACGCGTCACGTGTCGCCTTGGTCTGAGAAGCAGGAAGTATGAAGTGGTTATGGGAATAGATAGAGTAATGGAGTACACGTTTTTGTGTGTCATCCAGTGATGAGGCAGTCATTTATTCTGAGGAGCTACGACAAAAGAAATGCATCGCGATACGACGGTTCAAATATTCAGCGAAATATGTACTTTAGGGAAACTGATTTGCTTTGAGAATTGAAGTCAATTGTAGTGATACATAGTGAATTGTAGTGATACATAGTGAATTGTAGTGATACATAGTGAATTGTAATGATACATAGTGAATTGTAATGATACATAGTGAATTGTTGTAACCCATACTTAATTGTAATGATACATAGTGATTTGTGATACATAGTGAATTGTTGTAACACATAGTTAATTGTAGTGATACATAGTGAATTGTAGTGATACATAGAGAATTGTAGTGATACATAGTGAATTGTTATACGTAGGGAATTGTTGTTATACGTAGTGAATTGTTGTAACACATAGTGAATTGAAATGATACATAGTGAATTGTAGTGATACATGGTGAATTATTACAATTTTCGTAAATTAACATCATATAATTGAAAACTCATGTCGCTATAAGAATGCCATTGATATATCCTTGCAAAGTGCTTAGCATTATTGGGATCTGTTGCTCATTGAATGAGGCTAATAAATTATCTTCAAATTTACCATGGCACCACAATTCGGGTCAACTTTCATCCATGAATCTGGAACCATGGCGAGACTATCCAACACAATCCACGAACACAATGTTGCCACTGTCTGGGGACATTCCGTTACATCACCTGTGTCAAATAAGTTGGGACCCCATCTATAACGGCAGCTATGTTGACTGCACCAACCAGGGCATCAAGGCCATCAACCAGAGAATGTATCCAGGCAACACCACATCGCTCATCCTAGACCACAACAACATCCCCACCCTGTACAACGACAGCTTCTGTAACTTGACTGACCTGAGGTACCTCAGCATCAGATCATCTCACGTTCACGTAGTCCAGGTGAGTGAGTTGTGCAGAGTGTTTCTTGACCTAAGATTAAATAACTGGCAAAGATCATATCATTATAAGAGCAAAGGATCAAATGTTTATAAAAGTAGACACATTTCTGGCATACGTTACACACAAATGACATGGATCAGAATGAAAGAGCTCATTAATTCTAAAAGACATAGGTGATCTAAGACAGGCAAAAGGTTATTTAGAATACTTGACCTTTGTCAAGGGGACACCGAGTGCATCTCCTCCACCCACGACACTTGTCTGAATCACCATGGTAACTAAAGGAATTTACCTGTCACAAAAATTCATATAAAGGTGAAACGAGGCACACAATAAAACCATCCATTTAATAAAAGATCACTAAATTGAGACAACCAATCTGACAGATACCCAAGAACTCCTAGATGTTATAAGTGCCCTAAGTAATCAAAACGACACTGCATATTTATGTTCGCAGCAAAATGTTTTAAAATTCATTATAGCATCGGCTCATAAAATGGACAATAGATTGTTATATGGACAATAGATTGTTATATGGACAATAGATTGTTAAAGTGATGTCAATTATATCAAATATTCTTTTAAGTATTTTTTTTAAAAAATCAATCGTGCTCTTGACTGATTTCAGGCGGCCACTTTGAGAGGTTTGACATGGCTTGATACACTCAACCTAGAGAAGAACATCCTTCCTATAGCCAAGACAGCATTTCCGTTCACGATGTTTAGTTATGTACCGAACCTCCGACAGCTCTTTATCGCTTACAACACAGTGTCTACGCGTAGATATCAGGCTGAAGAATACGAACCTTGCTACACAAACGTCACTGACATCTTTGACTCTCTGCCACATCTTGAAAACTTGTCCATCGATTCACTGCCAGAAATGTATCTAGGCCTCGAGTTTTCCAAGTTCAGAACACTGAAAAGTCTTGTGCTGTACTGCGTTGATGTGGACCGGGCCAGAAATGATTGTTTTATTGGTCTGTCCAACTCCACGGTCAAACATCTGATGTTGGACACATTCTCTGAAGTGTTTGAACCTTTTCTGCCAAAGGGAGCTTTCCGTCACGTCATTCAGTTAGAATCTCTTTACATAAACTTTTTTGAGATTGGAAATCACAGATTAATGAAAGCACTTAAGCCGTTTAACAATGGCTCCCTGACGTCTTTGATTCTTAATAACATTGCATTGTCCAGGTACAGAGAGTCGCCAACTGTAACATTTGAGGATGGGCTCCTAAGGCGTAATGTAACCAAACATATCGCAAATACATGTCTGAGCACACTGGTCCTGGCGAATAACAAACTGTTTGCTATAGAGCCGGGAGCCCTAACAGGCCCCACCTGGCTCAGATGTTTAAAGCGAGTTGACCTTTCCGGTAACTATATGGCGATATCGGGGTGGCGAATCGTTATATTTGAATTGCATAACTTCCAAATCCTGGAAGATGTTACTCTGACATCCCCACCGGCAACTTACCAAGATGTTCATACCACATTTGTTGGCGGCGTGTATGGCGTACAAACACTGAGCCACTACCTATCAAACATACTAACAAACATACTAACAAACATGGCTGCATCTACAAACTTTGAAGCCGAAGTTATTTTTTCCTTAGTCAAACCCTCTGAGCATTATTCCACCAGTCATAACATGGTCGGTAGTAATTTCTCTATGTCAGCTACAGATTTATCACAGGCAAGAAAGACAGACAGAAAAGTATCAGCCATTGTAAGAGGTCTTTGGATTCGAGTTCCAAAGTCAGTCAAGTACCTAAGGTTCGCCTACATGACTTTAAGGTCTTACTTGACTTTCAACAGTGACGTGAGGTTTGTGGACGCCGAAAACCTGAAAGAAATCTACGCCATCGGAATCCCGCAGTTTCTGTACAGCGCGGGTAGGATCAGAGGCCTGGAGAACCTCAGAGTGGTGGACGTGTCTGGGTCAATGCTCAGCGTCCGGGAGTACTTCTACGACGACTTCCCGAGCCTCGAGTTCGTGGTCTTGAGTCACATCTACCCTGTCAATTACTTCGAGGCGGTTGTATCATTAAAGCGGTTGCTTCAGAACTTGACCAGACTGACCTACCTGGACATCTCCGACAACGGTCTCAACGCTCTACCCCCGGGCACCTTTTCTGCGAGTCTTAAATTAGAAATTCTAATCCTTGCCAAAAATCGGTTTTCTAGTATTCCATTTGACCTGGCTGCCATTCCAAGGTTGAAATATCTTGACATGTCAGAAAATGCCATTCTATTCTTAGAAGAGTACGAGATGGCGGCCATTGACGAGCGAGTCCGTGAACTATCGACCTTCACCCTCAAGCTCCAAGGAAATGGCATCTTCTGCATGTGTTCGAGTATTAAATTTGTGGGTAAGTTTGTATTCGTCGGTTTGAGAATCATTGAGTTGAAGAAGATTGTTAGTTTTGAGAACATCCACAAGGAAGACACAGTTACGAAGTAGCAATATTGTCAACAAGACATTGTGGGTTGAATGAAGTGAGGGTTGCGAAGTAGCAATATTGTCAACAAGACATTGTGGGTTGAATGAAGTGAGGGTTGCGAAGTAGCAATATTGTCAACAAGACATTGTGGGTTGAATGAAGTGAGGGTTGCGAAGTAGCAATATTGTCAACAAGACATTGTGAGTTGAATGAAGTGAGGGTTGCGAAGTAGCAATATTGTCAACAAGACATTGTGGGTTGAATGAATTGAGGGTTGCGAAGTAGCAATATTGTCAACAAGACATTGTGGGTTGAATGAAGTGAGGGTTGTGAAGTAGCAATATTGTCAACAAGACATTGTGGGTTGAATGAATTGAGGGTTGCGAAGCAGCAATATTGTCAACAAGACATTGTGGGTTGAATGAATTGAGGGTTGCGAAGCAGCAATATTGTCAACAATACATTTTGGGTTGAATGAAGTGAGGGTTGTGAAGTGGCAATATTGTCAACAAGACATTGTGGGTTGAATGAAGTGAGAGTTGCGAAGTAGCAATATTGTCAACAAGACATTGTGGGTTGAATGAAGTGAGGGCTGCGAAGCAGCAATATTGTCAACAATACATAGTGGGTTGAATGAAGTGAAAGTTGCGAAGCAGCAATATTGTCAACAAGACATTGTGGGTTGAATGAAGTGAGGGCTGCGAAGCAGCAATATTGTCAACAATACATAGTGGGTTGAATGAAGTGAGAGTTGCGAAGTAGCAATATTGTCAACAAGACATTGTGGGTTGAATGAATTGAGGGTTGCGAAGCAGCAATATTGTCAACAATACATTTTGGGTTGAATGAAGTGAGGGTTGTGAAGTGGCAATATTGTCAACAAGACATTGTGGGTTGAATGAAGTGAGAGTTGCGAAGTAGCAATATTGTCAACAAGACATTGTGGGTTGAATGAAGTGAGAGTTGCGAAGCAGCAATATAGAGAAACATATCAAGAGAGATAAAGAGATATAGAAAGAGAGAGAGAGAGAGAGACAGAAAAAGAGATAGGAAAAAAGAAAGAAAGAGAGAAAGAGAAAAAGGATATATATATAGAAAGAGAGAGAATGAAAAGAGAAAGACGGAAAGAGATGAACAAATAAGACTAACTGGTAGTTACAATTTAAGTGGCTAAAAACTAATCAGAAAATGTTGCCTTAGAACATATGTTATGACGTCAGCTTATTTTGACGATCATTATGTGAGTCAAGGGTCATGAGGTGAGTCTCACTAGGGACAAAGGTAAGTCTGAAATGTGTCATCAGGTGATTCTGTGATGATATCTTAATGTTGTCATTGAATTAATGTCTCCGTGTTTTTATTGATGTGACGATGTCATCATGTTGCCATTGATGTGAAGATATCATCATGCTGTCATTGATGTGGAAGATGTCAACATGCTGTCCTTGATGTGACGATGTCATCATGCTGTCATTGATGTGACGATGTAACCATGCTGTCATTGATGTGTTGATGTCATCATGCTGTCATTGATGTGACGATGTCACCATGCTGTCAATGATGTGACGATGTCATCATGCTGTCAGTGATGTGAAGATGTCATCATGCTATCATTGATGTGACGATGTTATCATGCTGTCATTGATGTGACAATGTCATCATGCTTTCATTGATGTGACGATTTCATCATGCTGTCATTGATGTGTTGATGTCAACATGCTTTCATTAATGTGACGATGTCACCATGTTGTCATTGGTGTGATGATCTCTTCATGCTGTCATTGATGTGACGATGTCACCATGCTGTCATTGATGTGACGATATCACCATACTGTCATTGATGTGACGATGTCACCATGCCGTCATTGATGTGACGATGTCACACAGCTGCCATTGATGTGACGATGTCCTCATGTTGTCATTGATGTGTTGATGTCACCATGCTGTCATTTATGTGAAGATGTCATCATGCTGTCATTGATGTGACGATGTCATCATGCTGTCATTGATGTGACGATATCTTCATGCTGTCATTGATGTGACAATGTCACCATGCTGTCATATATGTGACGATGTCATCATGCTGTTATTGATGTGATGATGTCACCATGATGTCATTGATGTGTTGATGTCATGCTGTCATTAATGTGACGATGTCATCATGCTGTCATTGATGTGACGATGTCACCATGCTGTCATTGATGTGACGATGTCACCATGATGTCATTGATGTGGCGATGTCATCATGCTGTCATTGATGTGACGATGTCTTCATGCTGTCGTTGATGTGACGAAGTCATCATGAAGTCATTGATGTGTTGATGTCATCATGCTGTCTTTGATGTATCGATGTCACCATGATGTCATTGATGTGTCGATGTCACCATGCTTTCGTTGATGTGACGATGTCACCATGCTGTCATTGATGTGACGATATCACCATGCTGTTATTGTTTTGACGATGTCACCATGCTGTCATTGATTTGACGATGTCCTCATGTTGTCATTGATGTGAAGATGTCATCATGATGTCATTGATGTGACGATGTCACCATGCTTTTATTGTTTTGACGATGTCACCATGCTGTCATTGATTTGACGATGTGCTCATGTTGTCATTGATGTGTTGATGTCATCATGCTGTCATTGATGTGACGATGTCATCATGCTGTCATTGATGTGACGATGTCACCATGCTGTCATTGATGTGAAGATGTCATCATGCTGTCATTGATATGACGAGGCTATCATGCTAACATTGATTGACGATGTCATCGTGATGTCCTTGGTGTGACAATGTCATCATGTTGTCATTGATTCTATCATTTCTTTATTTCTTGTTTCAACAGTCTGGCTTCAGCTCACACTCGCCAAACTGGAAAATGCTGGCAACTACTCCTGTGCATCTCAAGATGACAAGATGACCAGCACAGACAGATTCTCTGACATGAAAGGGTTGTGGAGGCAATGTGTGGGAAGGTAAACACATTTTGGTCACGTCTGCTAAGGCATTCTCGAATATTGCGAGACTAGAATGCGGGTTACAATCAGGTAACCTATGGCTGTGATTAAACGACATTTTCTTTGGCTTCTACTTCCTGTGTCATACATGTGATGATGATGAAGTAGTGGCGAAATAACTGCTGGAACTAAATAAGGAGAGGTAACTCCATTCTTGGAGCAGGTATATTTAAAATTGGAATGATTATCACCTCATTGTGATTTATGTGTAACAATATTGAGATTTGTGTAACAATAATGAAAATTGTGTAAAAATAATGAGATATTTTTAACAACAATGATCTCTGTGTAACAATTTTGATATTTGTGTGTATTATGGTGTCTGTAATCTGACCAGAGTAACATTGATCTAACCAATCCGTGATCTGTTCCTAGCCGGCCCTTGACCTGCTCCCACTCTGCCCCCTGACGCCTCGTTGCATATCCAACTGCCATGTCATTAGTTTTGTCGTTCTTATTGTCCAGTCTGTCCTTGATGGTGACCTTGACTCTCGCCTGCCTAATGGCCTTGGCCTTCCTCCTCGTCTACCTGATGGGACGCTTCAAGACATGCATTCGGGCGTACATTCTGAGACTCGTCGCTCCTCAGTTCCGGTCTATGACGTCAGACGATTATAAGACCAACGTGTTTATTGGCTACGCCGATGACGACTACAAGTTCGCTATCAATGTTCTACTACGGTAAGTTGGCTACACCTATGACATATTTTCTTCTACTTCGGTAAGTTGGCTACACCTATGAAATATTTTCTTCTACTTCGGTAAGTTTGCTACACCTATGACCTATTATCTTCTACTTCGGTAAGTTGGCTACACCTATGACCTATTTTCTTCTACTTCAGTAAGTTGACTACACCTATGACCTATTTTCTTTTACTTCGGTAAGTTGACTACACCTATGACCAATTTTCTTCTACTTCGGTAAGTTGACTACACCTATGACCTATTGTCTTCCACCTCGGTAAGTTGACTACACCAATGAATATTGTCTCCTACTTCGGCAAGTTGATTACACCTATGACGTATTGTCTTCTACCTCGGTAAGTTGACTACACCTATAACCTATTGTCCTCTACCTCGGTAAGTTGACTACACCTATGACATATTGTTTTCTACTTCGGTAAGTTGACTACACCTATGACCTATTGTCTTCTACCTCTGTAAGTTGACTACACTTATTACCTATTTTCTTCGACTTCGTTAAGTTGACTACACCTATGAAATATTGTCATCTACTTCGTGAAGTTGACTACACCTATGAATATTGTCTTCTACTTCGGTAAGTTGATTACGCCTATGACCTATTTTCTTCTACTTCGGTAAGTTGACTACACCTATGACCTATTGTCTTCTACCTCGGTAAGTTGACTACACCTATGACCTATTGTCTTCTACCTCGGTAAGTTGACTACATCTATGACCTATTTTCTTCTACTTCGGTAAGTTGGCTACACCTATGACATATTGTCATCTACTTCGTGAAGTTGACTACACCTATGAATATTGTATTTTACTTCGGTAAGTTGATTACGCCTATGACCTATTTTCTTCTACCTCGGTAAGTTGACTACACCTATGACCTATTGTCTTCTACCTCGGTAAGTTTACTACACTTATTACCTATTCTCTTCTACCTCGGTAAGTTGACTACACCTATGACCTATTGTCTTCTACCTCGGTTAGTTGACTACACTTATTACCTATTCTCTTCTACCTCGGTAAGTTGACTACACCTATGACCTATTGTCTTCTACCTCGGTAAGTTGACTACACCTATGACCTATTGTCTTCTTCGGAAAGCAATTGACCCACTTTGTGACAGACCGTCAACGACAATTCAAACATATTTAAAGATACCCCCCAAACTCACCGACAAACATGTCACTTATGATATCACTTATCATGTCCCTTACCAAGTCACTTATTATGTCTCGTATCGTGTCACTTGTCATGTCACTTATCATATCACTTATCATGTCACTTATCATGTCACTTATCATGTTACTTATCATTTCACTTATTATGTCACTTCTCATGTCACTTCTCATGTCTCTTCTCATGTCACTTATCATGTCACTTATCATGTCACTTATCATGTCACTTATCATGTCACTTATTATGTCACTTCTCATGTCACTTCTCATGTCACTTATCATGTCACTTATCATGTCACGTATCATGTCACTTATCATGACACTTAGAATGTCTCGTATCCTGTCACTTGTCATGTCACCTATCATGTCACTTATGGCACTTATCATGTCACTTATCATGTCTTGTATCATGTCACTGTCATGTCACTTATCATGTCACTTATCATGACACTTATCATGTCTCGTATCATATCATTTGTCATGTCATTTATCATGTCACTTATCATGACACTTATCATGACACTTATCATGTCATTAATGATAATTTATTTATATAGCGTTTAAAGTTGAGCTGTTGTTGGTCTTTAATCCTAGCTGCTGTTACGGATAGCTTAAATTGCAGGATATTTCTAGGTAAAAAATTATTGTGGAAGAACTTGAAACGATAATGTCATGGCGTTAAAACCAGGTCAAGTTGTGTGTTTTTAAACACTGATTACACAGGTACAACATTAAAACTAGGCCAAGTTATGTGGTTTTTAAACACAAATTCCTGATGACCCAGGTGTGACATTGGACGCCTTAAGTAGTTTGATAAGAGATAAAAGAAGCTGTGAGAGTCATTAGTTCATAGCGTTTTTAAATTATTCATTTCTATTTCAAAAGTTTTCTGGAAGATGATTTAGGAGTGAGTACATTCCTTCATCACCGTGACCTTGGACCTGGCTATACCGACCAACTGTTCTACGAGGCCATTCAAAACAGCTGGCGTGTGCTACTGGTTATAACGACCACCTTCCTACAGCGGTACCCGATGGCTGACATTGTAATGAAGGTAAATCACCAACATTGTCATAAAGGCAAATTGCCAACATTGTCATGAAGTTAAAGGGCTGAAATTGTCATGAAGGTAAATGGCTGACATTGTCAGGAAGGTAAATGGCTGACATTGTCAGCAAGGTAAATGGCCGACAGTGTCATGAAGGTAAATGGCAGACATTGTCATAAAGGCAAATTGCCAACATTGTCATGAAGATAAATGGCTGAAATTGTCATGAAGGTAAATGGCTGACATTGTCGGGAAGGTAAATGGCTGAAATTGTCAGGAAGGTAAATGGCCGACAGTGTCATGAAGGTAAATGGCAGACATTGTCATGAAGGTGAATTGCTGACATCGTCATAAAGGTAATTAGCCGACATTGTCATAAAGGTAGACAAATAGTTCATCATGGCGTCATGAAATAAAAGAATTCATTTATTAATTTTCGCTTCTGTAATCGGAAAAAAATTCTTATTTAAAATGGTTTTATATTTAAGTGTTTATAAATGTGTTAGTATAAGTGGTTTATAATAAGAGTTTATAATAAGTGTTTGTAGAAGGGCTTATAATACATGTTTGTAATAAGTGTTTATAATAGTTGTTGATGATTCAAAAATATTTAATTAATGTGAGTATCACACGTAATTAATGCTCAGTTCACACGAACAAATGTTCGTCGAATTTATTTTTCAAAGCACTATTTTTTGTGTGTTAAAACACATTGCGTTCAAAAAGAAATTTGACGAAAATTTGATCGTATGAACTGACCGTTACGAAGTCCATATTGAACCAGTAGGCATAAGCTGAGGTAACAAGAAAACTGAATGTGAACTCTGGGAAATCCAGGATGTCAGTTATAACGGCTGATGTGCAGTGAACATTAGTTTCACTTTTAAACAACACATGAAGTAAGACTTCGTGGCTGTACGATGTACAGATTGTGTTTGTGATCAATTTTTTTTATTATGGGGTGGGGGTTGTTGGGTTTCCGAAAATGTCGTTGCCTTGTGTATCAGATATATTTCCAATGTTAAATAGACCATGTCCATTTAATCATGGTATTTATGCTAGTTCTGAATTTGGCTGTGGGTGCGCAGATGGCTCTTCAGACCTTGAGACCTATTCTGGCACGACATGTTCTAGTGCAGTAGCTGCAAGTGAGAGCTGAGCCACTTGTTAGAGCTGAGCCTCATGTTAGAGCTGAGCCAGAAAGAAGAGCTGAGCAACATTTTAAAGCTGAGCAGCAGGTTAAACATAATAATAATAATAATAAAATTCATTTCAAAAACACGCTTCATCCCCAAAGGCTCGAAGCGCGGTACAAAGTCAACAAAATACAAATCTATAATTTACCACATTTAAAACAAACGCAACACTATAAAAACTAATTACAAGCATACAATGGCAAAGTCTTTCTAGCCATTTCAACCCCAAGCAACACAGCCATTATGCATTAACTGGAAAATAAGGTAGACAATCATCCCAGAAGGTGTTTGCGAAATAGATGTGTCTTTAAATTGGTTTAAACATGAGCACCTTGTGGGGACACAAGACTGAATAACTACCTTAACAAATGGGTAAGACTTCTGCCCAATTTGAAATTAGCTTGTTGTAATTTTAAATAAAATAATCTATTTCACACATTTGTATGGACATTAGCATTGAAAATAGAACTATACAAATACATTTAGAAAATAAAAATATTTTTTTAGGTATTATTATTATTCTATTGACGCGGTTCATATAATTATAAATACCTACGCAGATGGGTAAGAGAGTTAAGGAACAAAAAGGGGAAGATACGTTTGTTTAGGGTTTAATTTGAATGTTTATGTTCATTGAAAGGACGATAGGAAATGTCTGATCACTTTTATCAAACCAGAATGCTCACTGAGAGTTCTTTGAGACTTGCGCAGAGTGTCTTAGATTTGTACACAATTCTAACTTTGTTAAAAGAGTCTGTTAATTAAATAGCAAAGCAACCAAAAAACAAATTTTTTCGTATAAATAATTTTAAAAAAATAAAATATCAAGCTATTGGGGGGGGGGTAGGTGGGGTGGTTGAAATAATGACAAAATATGGATACAGGTGACGCACTTTATAATAATCCCAATTAGTTCCGCGCCCAACGCTCGCCACCTAATTAAATAGAAAAGCAACCAAAAAACAAATTTTTTCGTATAAATAATTTTAAAAAAATAAAATAGCAAGCTATTGGGGGGGGGGGTAGGTGGGGTGGTTGAAATAATGACAAAATATGGATACAGGTGACGCACTTTATAATAATCCCAATTAGTGCCGCCCCCAAGGCTCGCAACCCCACATTTTTTCACGCCCCTGGATTAGATTAATATTCTAAAGACCCACCCTCATTTACGCCGCTGATTTATTTCACCAACTATTTCAGAAAAACAAAAGAAAATATTACGCAGCAAACGCACTTGCGATATTTCTAGCCTTAAGAATCTCATTCAGAGCAGTTATCGGGAATTTATTCTATCTTCCCCTTGAAAAACAGGAAATACTGATTTTTAGGGCATGGGGTTGTTTTGTTCAGGTCAGGTTCGATTTCTATCTTAACTGCCACCCAGTGAACAACTCGTTCAGCATATAGTGTGGCCATCTCTTCCATTCACCAATTCCCTCAGGTGCGTGCCGAAGAGCATATAAACAATGTATGCAACCAGGCAAACAAGACCCCTGGGGTTCTTAAGGCGTAATCTAAAGATCGGGTAGTCCAGTCTGAAAGGAAAGGCCCTTAGAGCCTTTGCCCGGCCGCTTTTAGATTACGTATCTGCAGTCTGGGACCCATTTACCCAGAAGAGCTTCGACTTTGTCCTGAACCGCTACAGGAACACCTCCAGTGTTGGCAGCATGCTGGAAACACTGGGCTGGTCACCATTGGAGAAACGACGACGCTATCCAGGCTCTCCATGATGTACAAGATAAATAATGGGCTGGTCCACTGCTCCAGTATTAAACAGAAACTCGTCCCTCTCCCCCATAGACAGCGACGAGGCCATGACAGGCAATTCAGGCTCATTCTAGCAAGAAGCCAGTATAGAAGCTGCTCATTCCTGCCCAAGACAATCAGGGACTGGAACAATCTTTCAAAAAGAAAAGTTGAGGCGAAAACATTTGACACATCTGCGTCTATTGCCACAGGCCTTCCAACTCACACATGATACCTTCACTGAGTGGCCCTTGCAACCAATAAAGTATTGATTGATTTTGATATTTATATTGCGCTGGTATCCATGCCACTTTAGCATGCTCACTGCGCTCTGGTTTAACGGAATCTATTTAAACAAAAAAGTTTTAAAATGTTTCTTAAATTATTTTTTATCATTTTCAATTCCCCTCAAACATTGAGGCAAATTGTTCAATAATTTTGGCGCTATCGCTTCAAAAAGGCGCACTCCGTAAGAATTTGTTCTGTGTTCATTCATCGTCGGAATGATCAATAAGTTGATCGTGGGCCCTTAATATAAGAAGAAGAAGAAAGCAACGTCTGGAAAGGGTGCCCACCAGGATATGGAAGCAAGTGCCGCCCATGACATGAGTAAAAATAGTTTTTTTTTGGCCCCTTGTCTTTGTCATGTACATGACATTTTATTGTTTAGTTCACTCTAAATATAATATAAATAAATGTAAATAAAAACTATTTTGTCCCCCCACCCCCCACCCCAATATTTACACCCGGGACAAGTACCCCCCTGCACGATCCTACGCACGGCCCTGAATCCAGTATTTTACTCACCCCTCTGGGATCAGGTCATCCAAGGAAGCTTTATTATTTTCAATTGTTCTACACGTGTCCTTGACCTTCCCCGGCCGTCCCGCATGCTTAACATTTCCTGCGAAACTTGCACGTACGTTATTAAATGAAGAGCGCTTCTTAAGAGTCAAGTGTCCTAGAACTTTGTCATGGTCATGCTTCTGACTCGTTGAGCACTGACTGAAAGTACCGGGATGACCCACTCAACAAACATATGTGAGGCGTTGGTCCGTTACAGCGTCGACGAAGAGTTGTCTTTACAGCGCCGTTACAGAGTTGTCCCTCTTTTAATCAGATGCTGTCTAGATCTTTGGTTGTAAACGTGTCAATGCAATATTCAACCACGGACGGCTTTGACGTCAAGGGCATCTGTCAGATGCTGTCAATTTAAACGGAGTTTGAAAAGACTACAATACAATACAAGTAGTACCATTTATTTGAATTAGTTTTTTAAAATGCATTAGTCTTAAACGTCTCAAATCCTTGTGACTTGATCGCTTGTTTTAAATGCATACAAAATTTTCTCAAACACATTTCTGAAGGGCTTCAGCTTACGTCCATCGTAATGTGTCAGTTTTTCACATTCAGGGCCAACCCTACCACTTCCAGGGCCAACCCCGCCACTTCCAGGGCCAACCCTGCCACTTCCAGGGCCAATCCTACAACTTCCAGGGCCAACCCTGCCACTTCAAGGGCCAACCCTGCCCCTTCCAGCGCCAACCCTGCCCCATCCAGGAAAAACCCTGCCCCATCCAGGGCCAACCCTGCCACTTCCACGGCCAACCCCACCACCACCAGGAAAAACCCTGCCACTTCCAGGGCCAACCCTGCCACTTCCAGGGCCAACCCTACCACCAGGGCCGGCGCTAGGGAATGACGAAGTAGGCGACCGTTGCCGTAGTATATTTATAGTATACCTAAGCCTACTAATAGTTCCCAATCCATTTAGGCCCCAGTACAACGGATCTTAATGTCCTATCGGCGGAATATATAACGTAAACGGCACCGCAAAATTCAATTTGCCCAAGGCCCCGCACCCTCCTAGCGCCGGCCCTGTTACCACATCCAGGGCCAACCCTGCCACATCCAGGGCCAACCCTGTCACATCCAGGGCCAACCCTGTCACACCCAGACGATCCAACAGCTAACACATTTCTATGTGTATCTGTTTATTAGCTATGTAATCTAAGCGTTAATTGTTTACATATTTTCTGATTCTCCTTAACTCTATTTATGACTTATAACCTATAGGAAACACCCCCAAAAAACGTTACTGAAATTATATTCAAAAAAAGTATTTATGTAACGATAAGAATATTTTAAAAATAAATGTATAGTCTTCAATTAAATTTTACAATTTGAGAACCTTCAATTCGTTGAACTACTTTGTTACTACTTTCACAAAACCCATCAAATTAAAGTACGGCTTGTTCATAGGGGTCAATTCATTGCCTTGTGTTTATTGTCTTTCCCAGTACGCAAGCGGGTCTCTGACCCCAGTCAACCAGGGGCGTGTCTTTGTGCTGGTTGAGGGCTCTCAGGTCCACAACATCCCTTCCTACCTCCATGATGTTTTGGACGACACGAGGATCATTACTGTCCATGACCTTGACCAATCTCTGACCTACGAGCAGAAACAGAGCATCATTCAGTGTCTGAAACCTTCAATCTGAACAATAGAGACCTTCAATCTGAACAATAGAGACCTTTTCTCCTAACAATAGAGACCTTCACTCTCAACAATAGAGACCTTGACTCTGAACAATAAAGATCTTCACTCTGAAACATAGAGACCTTCAATCTGAACGATAGAGACTTACAATCTGAACAATAGAGAGCTTTCCTCCTAACACTAGAGACCTTCACTCTGAACGATAGAGTCCTTCACTCTGAATGATAGAGCCCTACAATCTGAACAATAGAGACCTTTTCTCCTAACAATAAAGACTTTCACTCTGAACGATAGAGACCTTCACTCTGAACAAAAGAGACCTATAATCTGAACAATAGAGGCCTTTTCTCCTACAAATACAGACCTTCACTCTGAACAATAGAGACCTTCAATCTCAATACTAGAGACCTTCCCTCTGAACGAAAGAAACCTTCACTCTCAACAATAGAGACATTCACTCTGAACGATAGAGAACTTAACTCTAAACGATAGAGACCTTCAATCTGAACAATAGAGACCTTCAATCTGAACAATAGAGACCTTCAATCTGAACAATAGAGACCTTCAATCTGAACAATAGAGACCTTCAGTCTGAACAATAGAGACCTTCAATCTGAACAATAGAGACCTTCAATCTGAACAGTAGAGACCTTCAGTCTGAACAATAGAGACATTCACTCTGAACGATAGAGACCTTCAATCTGAACAATAGAGACCTTCAGTCTGAACGATAGAGACCTTCAATCTGAACGATAGAGACCTTCAATCTGAACGATAGAGACCTTCAATCTGAACGATAGAGACCTTCAATCTGAACAATAGAGACCTTCAATCTGAACAATAGAGACCTTCAATCTGAACAATAGAGACCTTCAATCTGAACAATATAGACCTTCAATCTGAACAATAGAGACCTTCAATCTGAACAATAGAGACCTTCAATCTGAACAATAGAGACCTTCAATCTGAACAATAGAGACCTTCAATCTGAACAATAGAGACCTTCAATCTGAACAATAGAGACCTTCAATCTGAACAATAGAGACCTTCAATCTGAACAATAGAGACCTTCAATCTGAACAATAGAGACCTTCAATCTGAACAATAGAGACCTTCAATCTGAACAATAGAGACCTTCAGTCTGAACAATAGAGACCTTCAATCTGAACAATAGAGACCTTCAATCTGAACAATAGAGACCTTCAATCTGAACAATAGAGACCTTCAATCTGAACAATATAGACCTTCAATCTGAACAATAGAGACCTTCAATCTGAACAATAGAGACCTTCAATCTGAACAATAAAAACCATATTTTAAAAAACAGCATTCTTTCTTCAAATTCTTGGTTACAAAATGAAAATAAATAGAGTGTTTACAGTAATTGACAGTTTTACTTTACCGTCATTCACATTCATGGTTTACAGTAATTAACAGTCCTACTTATCAGTAATTGAAAATAAACTGCTGACTGCATGACTGGAGATCTGTGACCTTATTTATTTCAGTCATCCTTGAAGCTCCCTGCTCAGCCCTTTTTAAAAGTGTTGGACTGCGATAAAGCTGTCACGTAGATTAATGTGACACATAGAGTTTGTGAGTAAGTAGCAGTACAAGTACCAAGATGTCTCCATATAGAGTAAGTAGCGGTACAAGTAACAAGAGGTTTCCATATATTTCAAGTACCGACATAAGTGTTTTAAGTCAACGTAAGCTAAAGTCATGAGAACATCGCCCAAGTCATGAGAACATCGCCCAAGACATGAGAACATCGCCCAAGTCATAAGAACATCGCCCAAGTCATGAGAACATCGCCCAAGTCATGAGAACATCGCCCAAGTCATGAGAACATCGCCCAAGTCATGAGAACATCGCCCAAGTCATGAGAACATCGCCCAAGTCATGAGAACATC